ACTACTGCTGCTGTGGCTGCTGCTTCTTCTGCTGCAGGGAGCTGCAACAAATTTTTTATCATTCGTTCGCTTGTTGGTCATCAAACTGCATGTTTAATCCAACCAACAATGAAAAACTAAATGATATAGCTCTGTGCAAACATTTCAAACGTTTGGATTCTTCTCCATTCTGATGGTCCCAGATTCCTTCTGCAGCAGAACAATGAGTCCAAACATCCAGCAAGACTCACAAAGAACCATCTACAGCCACAAGAAGAATCCCTGCCACCCATGAGTTGAGGTACTTCTTGGTATTGGCCTAAGAATATCAAGGAATCGGCAAGAAAGGGAAAACCCAATCTCTCCCAGATTGAAATCTGTCCAAAAATCTTTAAATTACTGTCTCACATGAGATTTATCCCCATTTGGCCGCATTCATTTGACCAAAGCCGATGGGATATCAAGAATTATTTATTCATGACATTCTCTGTTTATATCATCTGGAGTAATAAAATCAACTAACGCTACTGTATTTAACTTCATATGAAAAAAACAAAACTCACTATTTAAGTAAATCTCAACTGGTCAGGGATTATGAAAACTGGGGTCTGAGAGCCCTGAAATTTGAATCTGTAATAACAGCTCTTACAGATAAATTGCTGAAAGAGTGTATTTCTCAGTCACATTCAATATGGTACCACATGCCAAACAAACTCTTCAGTAAGATTGGTGGCATTGATCTCTTACCTAGGTGTGATTTTGAGGTGTCAAAAATTCCTATACAGCTGTCTAACTTCCACAGTCAAGTATTACAGAATGGAAAAATATTATTTACTCACAACTTCTGCCCACATAAACATCTTCCCCATCAATAGCAAATCAATTTTAAACCTGGCTGGTAGGAAAAGGGGATTTGTTTTGTTCATGATCTTCTGGACTCCAATGGTTGCTTATTATGCTTTAAGGATTTTGTGGACAAGTAAAACATTAGCATTTCAAATAAGAGTTATGCTAAATTCTGTAAAACTATCCATACAACCTTATTGTGTTTAATTCAAAGTGCTATGCCGTTTCCCTTGGACCCGCCCTCCTTGCCCGCCCAAAGAACTGGTGATATCAACATGTCAGATAGGAAATGTGATAATATTTAAAACATACAACAAAATATTCATATTAGAATTTAGTTTGTAGAAGTTTAGCATGTGTATTGCATCTGTTGCTGCTATTATTCCTGTTATTTTTGCGGTTGTTGCAAATGTTATTTAGTTTTATTGTTGCTGGTATTATCATGATTGTTGTTTTAAGGATAAATTAAACAAACGTGAAATGGGCTGGATGTTTCTGTGTCTTCTTCATCTTTTCCTCCCACTATCCTTACTTAAATAACCACAACCTCACACAAAAATCGAACTTTTAATATCTGCACATGACAAAACTAAAGGCACGTCAAAAAGATCACCACAATCCTTGTATTTGTTATAATGTTTATCTTCTTCATCCTCAATGGTGTTCTTGGTTTGGCTCTGAATACTTTACATTTCTACCTTCTATCACCTATTGTCATGTATATTTACCGGTTTCTATTGTTATAACTGATTAGGAACGAGCGGGATTCGATCTGACGATCTCAGGGTGTATTTCTGTTAAATTCCTGGTCGTCCAGCACAGCGGTGTGCAGCCGTGTGAAATTATCACATTTCACTTAAGTAGTCCAAAAAACCCCGCTTTGTTACTGTAATTATAACAATATAATAATAATTTTAATTTGCCGTTGTTATATGCCTGTAATGCAGTGACTGGTAGAGTAATGAAATACCCTTCCATGCCAGTGGGGGGCAGCAGGTAGCTGGTGACCTCGTCAACTTTAGACCCCAGGATAAGGCAGGTGATGTGTGGACAGCGATGGATACACCTTTGAAAGGGACAAACACAAACTCCGAAGACACACTTCTGACCCAGATGAAGGCCCAAGTATGAGTGGGGGTGAAAAAAAATGCATAAACGGTGAGTTTGAAGGAATACAGCCAATATTATCGCCTTTTGGATTCACTTTTATTGCGCCAACTCCATCGTGCTCGGTGTGTGGGGAAAAAGCTATCTAACAGTCCCTGGTCTCTACAAGGCTTAAAAGCCAAACTTCAAAACTAGAAAAGGAACTATTTCGTTCACCTGCTTGAACACACCGAAAAACAGGAAACTGTAATGAGAAAAAGCACAAAGGTGAGTGAGAGAGGTCTCAAAGCTACCAAGTAGCTCTGCTCGTAGCTAAGTCGGTGGAGAGACGAAGCAGTGGAAAATTGCCATTTGATGAGTCTCCGGATATTCGTGGACTTTCTCAACTCTAGGCCCAGAGATTTCCTGTTTGCGAGGCATTGCTAGAAGAAACAACAAGGGAAGACATTTTCGGATCACATCAGAATATATGAAGAAGAAGAAGGACTTCAGTGGGAAAAGTGCACCAGCGTGATGGGGCGGCGGCCATGGTCAAAGGCTTCACGAGCAGAGAGATACCCGGATGTTACACTTACTGCGTTTGCACCGCGAAGCTAAAAGTTTACCAGCAGACAGCCCCTGTGTTGCATGATGATGGTAAACTTAGAAGAAACATGCTCCAGCCCCTCCCGACCAGAATGAGGATTAAGCGGTGTATTGTAGATGATGGATGGATGGATGGATGATTTCGCAGGAGCAGGAGGGACTAACTAAACTAAGAAAAAAGCCAAGTTTTGCTGACCGTCCCTTTGGACGCTTTCTGACTGACGGCTGTCAAGGAGTTTCCCGTTCTGACAAACAGCTATTTCGACGTTGCCCTCATTTCCCCACAACATATCTCTGCGAGCTTTTCAATCATGACCGTCATAAAAACTAAAAACAGACAGACTGAAAGCTCCCGAGGAACAGCTTCGTGTATACCTTCTTCAGTTCCTGCCAGGATATCAGCTTTGTGTTCATCGAGACAGTCCAAGGGATCGCACGGAGTAAGTATAAATACAATAAGAAACTAAATTGTCAATATATATATATTGTATGAGACATGAGACGACAGTGTGTCATTTTGTACCAGTGTTGGTTGGTGGTGTGCTGCGGGAGTTTTGTAATACAAAAAAGGTTGAAAAACACTGGTCTACTCACGGGCCTATGCACAATAGATAGCGCATTGGGCTTCTCGTCCAGCGCTTGAGAGTTGGTTCAAAGGTTGTGAGTTCGAGTCCAGGCAGAGGCGACTTTTGAGGCCAACGCCTGAGTAACTTAATGTGTATGTTGCAATAGTATGGAGCCATATTTGTGTCAAAACTGTAAAAAAAAAATAATAATAATAATTTGAGAGAAAGTTAAACTCACTGAAACAACAAAGGTCATCTCGAAAGTCAAACTTATAACTTGCAAACAAATTATTTTTGCAATTGTGTATACTATTAGTCTTTTACAATTTTGATAATGTACCCTTTTCTTCGCAATTCCCTCGATTCCATCTTACTGTCTTCTTTGCAGCCACGTTGTCTATAGACTGTACTACAGAAGCAAGTTTAACATAGCTGGGCTGTTTTTGTGTAAGTCAGCTCAAGAGCCCTAAATCACAAGGGTGTTATCAACTGTCTTTGTTGACTCAGGCTTTCTACTCCAGACTCTGAGTGTGGTCACATAAAAGAGCACATTTAATGCATCATGTGACTCTTCTTCTGCACAAAATGCACCCAGGCTGTCCTGGCTACTACAGTCAACAGACTGTTTTAATGGAGAACAACAAGGAATATACAAATTTATGACAATGAAAAGCACCACTACTGCATTAGTTAAACATTCATTTTACTGATAAGTGCAGTCGCTTATTTCTAATGCGACAGGTGCACATTAGAGTTTAACTTCAAACTTTTATTTATTTAAACACTATATTGTATTAAAGTGCATTTAGGTCTGACACTGTCTCATAATGCAGGATTGTCACTGTAATTATTGTCTACATCAAAATGAAACTAAAGTGACTGATTGAATATTCACTGTAGTAACTACCAGTAACCTAATCAAGTTTCTAATCTGTGGTCCATCAGCTGCAGTACTGGCAGTGTAAAACGAACTTGGCAGCAAACCAGGACCAAACATAAAAACATATTTATGCGATTGCTGCATCACCAACTGAATACATGTCTGGCTCCCATGTCAACACAATGCATACAGGGTGTGATACTGTAACTGCATTGCTTCATTCAGTGGTTTTAGTAATGTACAGATCAACAGATTTGCAGATGTAACACATTCTCACAGATAAAAATCTCTATTGCTCGTAGAGAAACAGCTGGAAACAGTTTGGTTAAAGCTAGCTGAACAGCTGAACAGAACCTGCTCCAGACCAGCTCAGTGCTGCAGCACGTGACCATGGTGATCTAGCAGGTTAAAAGAGAGCCACCTTTGTCAGTCTAAAAACCCTGACTTTAAGCTCAACATATGTCACTTTGTCATACAGCCCACTGTTTGTGCATCTCAGTTTTGTTTGTAGTTCTGACTCAAGCCCCTCACATGGGTGGCCTTCATTCAGGGTGCCTCTCTGTTGGTTTGTGGCTTATTTTTTTTCCCCCCTTTCAGTGAGTTTTACTTCTCAAACACTTTTTGACGCAAATATGATTCCATATTATTGCAACATATACATTAAGTTACTCAGGCGATGGCCTTAAAAGTCCGACTCTGGTGGGACTCGAACCCACAACCTTTGAATCACCTCTCAAGTGCTTGACTAGAAGTCCAATGCGCTATCCATTGCGCCACAGAGCCAGCTGGACCGTATTACTGTACTGTGACATCAACTTTCTGATACTCCGTGCTGAGGTAACGCTCTGCTTCAGACACTACACATGGCACCGTGTCTGGTTGCCCTTTAAGCGTATTTAAAAAACATAATGTATACTAAGTATGATCAGTTTTGTGTGTAACTATTTTGTTAGTATGTGTTGATTCGTCATTAAAGTTTTAATTCATAAAATAAATATTCAATGAAACTGGTTCCGGTGCGTCCCGGAAGTAGTTAGCATCAGCAACAGTTAGCAGTGCATAGCTGTGCGGTTCATGTTGTGAGTAAAGGACGCTAAAAAGCAGAATGTCTGAACAAAGGATAACTGTGACAGTCGCATACGGTAATAAGACCTCCCATTATCTTATATATGTTACAGTGTGTAAACGGTAGAGACAATAAATAAACATCGACCATAGCCAGGAAATACTTAGCTGATGTAGCTCTTAGCAAACATTTGCGAGTTAGCTTCAAGTTAGTTCCGCTGAATTAAAAATGAAGTCATTCCTAAATAAATTGTTGCCCTCCGATGAATGCACTACGCTCACATCAAACTTAACATTTATGTCATACCTGCATATTTATCGATCAAATACACGTTAGTTACTGGTGTTGTGTTAACAAGAAACTGCCGTCTGTGAAAGCAATTATTCGAATATGTGCATTATTTTACCTGCGCTGTGCCTTAAATCATAATCCGTCCAGTTGTTTTTACGGATTGAATTAGCTTTAAAGGACCGATTCAACTCCAATAATACAGTTTACCACTTGTCAATACGTAAATGAAGCCTCTGTATTGTGGCTGCAATGATACTTATGCATCGAAGTGACTTGATTTAATTCACATGGAGTATATTTAAGTGTTATAACCCATAGGATAAATGCAGAGGAGGTCATTTCTTTATTTTATATATAAAACCCAACTGCAGCTTATGTTTATTATCATTTTAGTAAGGATATTATAGATACCAAACATACAGCCTAAACACGGACACTGTACTACAGTATTGCCTGTAATCTAAAATTCTTTTTTTTTTTTATTAAACATATATCTCATTTTCTTTATTTTGCTGACCTAAATATTATTTATTGTAAAGAAATGTTGTGCACCATTTAGTTCTGATGAGATCAGTTCAACTTAAATAGATAATAAGACACACAGCCTGCAAGTAATCTACTTTTCGGACTTTGAGAAAAAGTTAAAAATCTAACTTATATTGTTTTAATTATAAAAGTGTTAGATTTAGCCAGCTGTGCAAAACAATGTTTTGAACTGTTCAGCTGGTGACAAATTCTCAACCCCTGAGGTGATCCACAGCCTGGTCAGGTGTGGCTTTAAGGGACAATCATCCGATAGTGACCAGTGAACAGACACACCTTTGACCCGTGACTATAAAAGGCCACCTCAAAATGCAGCTTCATTCAAATGACACAATGCCACAGATGACAAGAGCGGCTGCTGGATGCTGGCATGTCAGTCAACCAGGCGCATTCTCCCTGTTTCAGATAATGTGATCATGTCCCCTAAAATTTCTGCCAACTTCGCCAAAACCCTTTGGACAGCATTCCACAAGTCAGCAGTGACAAACTCAGTAACTCCTTGTGTCGCAGATGTGCAGCACTATACAATGTAAATGGTTGATATTCACCCTATTGTGCATACTGTGTTGTCTCCAGACGTAAATGGTCTGCACTTATAGAATGCATTTCTACTTTGGTGGTACTCAAAGCCCTTTACAATGTGTTTCTTGACATCCATTCTGTTGTAGAGATACTGTATGTTGAAACAAATGCTTAATCCCTTATGATTAAAAAATTAGATAGTATTTAATATCAAATAAAAAATATGACATGCTTAATTTATTTTTTTGTTCAGCATAGTGAAATAACTGAAGCGTAATTCAGGGTTTACTGAGGCTATATGGTGAAAGTGATAAATCTGAGAAATCCTCTTTGGTCCAGAAAAATTTCACTCTCGCTGCTTAAAAAGTAATCATCCCACCTGCTTGTGCTCATATATTCAGAGTTGCAGCTGTATTTGTTTTTCCTCCCTCTCCAGGATCCACTAAGCACAGCATCACACTACCAGGCCAAGATGACGGCAAGGGTCCCACTGTTAAAGACCTGTCTGATGCTCTCACTCAGGCCACTGGAGTCCCATCTGCCTCACAGAAACTCATCTTTAAAGGTTGGACTGTTTGTTTTTCTTCTCTTTCACCAGCAAGTGAGGATGAATTTCATATTATACTAGTGAATCTCAAAATATGTGAACATCATAGAAAAATTTAATTCAAAAAGGTAACTTCTGGATTTTCTATGTTAATATATATGAAGTTAAATATTTCAAGCTTTTTTTTTGTCATTTTAATTTATGGCCAGTATTTTAAATGATTAGAATATTTCTTAAGATTAATCCCAAAAAGGATTTACAATATAGATATGTCCAACTTCTGAAAAGTATGTTCATTTATACACTTAATACTTGGTTGGGGCTCCTTTACCATGAACTACTGCATCAGTGTGGTGTGGTATGAAGCCGATCAGACTGTGGCACTGCTGAGGTGTTATTAAAGCCCAGGTTTCTTTGATGGCAGCCTTCAGCTCGTTTGTATTTTTGGGTTGGGTGTTTTTCCATTTTCCTCTTGACAAAACCCAATATTTTTCCAGGTGTTCTAATTTTTTGAGATGCTTAGTATAACTAAACTTGTCTTTTTCATCCTGCTGTTCCAGGGAAATCACTAAAAGACATGGAGGAGAGTCTATCCAGCTATGGAGTTAAAGAAGGCTGCAAACTCATGATGATTGGAAAGCGAGTAAGGCCTTTACATGTGCAATGTCTCTGATATGTCTGTTCACGTAATGAAATACTGACAATAATCTACAAACAGAACAGTCCCGAGGAAGAAGCTGAACTGAGGAAGCTGAAAGACATCGAGAAGTCTGTGGAACAGACAGCTAAAAAGCTGGAGAAGGTAGATGGGGAGTTGACTGGCCTAAAAAATGTAAGCAATCAATCATGGCTTCAAAGCTAACATTCCTGCATTGGGTTGCCATTTTCTGTAACATATTTATGTTTAAATTTTGGTCATTTTGTTTCACAGGGCTTCCTGGCCAAAGACCTTCAAGCAGAGGCGCTGGGTAAACTGGACCACAGAGTGAAAATAGCAGCTGAGCAGTTTATGAAGATCCTGGAGCAGATAGATGCTATGGTAATTTATTTTGGTGTTAGGTGCTCATTTTTAGTGACTGCTTTATTAATGTTATATAAAGAAAACAGTAAACTGCTTCTCTTTTCACAGAGTGTCCCAGAAAATTTTAATGACTGCAAAACGAAGAAAAAGGGCCTTGTAAAGACAGTGCAGGTAAACCTATATTTGATCTTTTTTTTTCCTGTTAACAAAACTTTCTTGCTGTAATTCAAAATAATATTGAACATAAATAATGAATGCCTTAATTTTATATCCATAGGATTTCCTGGCACAGTGCGACAAGATCGAGGCTTGCATATCAGACCACCTATCAAAGATCCAGTCGAAAAACCTTGCCCTGGCAGAGTAGTTAGGTCTCCCTCATCACGTGCTATATATTGCTCTGTGAGCAATTTCAAAGTATACAGAGAGCTTCAGGTGTGAAGCTCATCTTGGTTTATTTATTGTTGGTGTGATGTGTAGGACAAAGTCTTCATCACAAAAGTTCCTGTGAAAAGAAGGATGCTGGCAACAGATTGTCTGGATTAAAGACAGGTATGAAGTGTTGAAACCACAGACACTCTTTGAAAAGATCAGAGGTGCTTTGACCTGCAGCAGATTATGTAGATACCTTCAAACATCCAGTCCCAATGGTGAAGAGAATCGCCAATACCAAATACCCATGGAAAATTCACCTGTGTGTCACCTGTTATCTCTCAAACTGTACAATAACAGAGAGAACATGTTCTTCTCTCAGTGTGCACCTTATGGCCAAAAGTATATGGACTTCCCAACATTGTACCATGTTGAAATTCCAAAATAATACAGATAATCTACATTAATAGCTGCATCCACTCTTGTGGGAAAGCTGTTTTCAAGAATTTGCTAACTCTGTTCAGTCACAAGAGCAGTAGTATGTTGAGTAATATTCTGTGGGGTTCTTGTCAATCTCAAATGTGTTGGATGCGATCAGAAGCTGGTCTCTGTGCAGGCCACACAAGTTCATCCACGCCACCTGAACATTCAACATGGGGTTTGTTGATGTGAGGGAAGGGATCTACTTTAAACTAGGACTTAAATCATATTTGATCATCACTGAGTATTTTAACTTTGACTAAAAATGTGAAACATTTCCAATGTCAGCCTTACACTATTGAGCTTCTGCAGCTTTTCTTCATATCACAAATGGATATCTTTGGATTTTAGAGTGCCAGTCTCACAAAAGCAATGTGGTGGCTTTTAAAAATGTTATAAGCATTTTGGACAATATAATTACATTTTATTGACCAAAGAATAAAGTGATTAAAAAAAGAATAGTTTTTTTGTAGCCCTATCCCATAAAATTAAAACAGCCTGCAGATGACACGGTGCTGTCCACATACTTTTGGTCATATGTTGCATTTATTATTCTAAATCATCGACAAACTTTTGTTAAATCTAGCATCTGATCCCATGTGATCATATGTCTTTGAAACTTGTGTGGAACTGTAAATTGCTTTAAACCATCACTCAGTCTGACACATCATATCCATGTTCCTTTGTTTTAAAATAAACCTTTTTGAAAAGTGAATAGAGCCTCATTGATTCATCTCAGAACACAATTTAATCGCAAAACTTTAAATGTCCTACAAAATACAACTGATTCAGTCACAATAACAGACATCGTGTGTCAGATTATTTCCAGCTTGATCCATGAGGGCCCGTTAATACATTTTTTCTAACTTCTATAGACCCTTTAGTGGTGTTATCACAGATGTGCAAATGAGCTTTGAAAGTAGGGTTGGAGGGGGGTCCAACAAGCAGCTTAAACAATTGACCTTCAGTAGGCTATACCACAGTGAAGCTTTGCCATGAGCCAAATTACAGGATATAGCTGTTCTAACTGGAATGGAAACCCATTAAAGATACACATGAAGTACAGAATAAACCTCGTAGAGTGCCGCCCGTCACTAATCGTCCTTGTCCTTTGCACCGTGTTTTAGAATACGTGTGAATGCTACATAGTTGAAGTTGCCTTTCTTGTCAATGGGAGCCTCACGGAAAAGCTCGTCCACCTCCTCATCTGTAAACCTGTCGCCCATTGTAGTGAGCAGCTCCCGCAGGTACTCTTCCTGAATCATACCTGTAGGGAGAAAACATTTTTCACATGTATTTAGGGAAGATACACATTTCAGATTAGTTCAAATTAAAATGCTAATGAAAATAGCTAGACATGACAAAAGTGATGCCATGGATGTGTCGTATTTAAGAAAACCTTAAAAACAAGCACATGTACTGACAGCACTGGTTCTGGAGACAGACTGACAAACTCCATCACAAGGTACAATCTACATTCAAACTGCGTGGAAAAATTTCCATCCATCTCACATTTAACACTTGAACTCACCTGTGCCTTCCTCATCAAAGCAAGCAAACGCGTTGCGAATGACGTCCTCTGGATCCGTGCCGTTCAGCTTCTCTCCAAACATGGTCAGAAACATAGTGAAGTTGATTGGGCCTGGTGCTTCATTCATCATGGTCTCCAGGTACTCATCTGTGGGGTTCTTACCTGTGAAAGGCAAAAGGACAGACTGGCTCTAATGCACTATCCACGTTTAGATCATCTATACAAAAAAACACCTGCTGGCAGATGTTTTTTCTTTCCAGCTTCCATTTCTTTGTTTTCAATTTTAGCCAAATTACTCTTTAAGTCACTTAAAATCCTACTTGAGGGGATGGTTGTTACTGTAACTTCCTGCAAAGCTATCTATCTAGTAACATCAACTTTAAATCAAAGCTACATTGTAATTTGTACTGTATTTGATTTTGCAATTTACTTTCAATCACTGTTTAAATGTGTGTAAATGTGAAGTCCACCTAATGAGGCCAGCATATCATGAAGGTCTTCTTTGTCGATGAAGCCATCCCTGTTTTGGTCGATCATGTTGAAAGCCTCCTTGAACTCCTGGATTTGAGACTGATCAAACATAGCAAACACATTGGAGGTGGCACGCTGGGGACGCTTCTTGGTGTTCTTCCCCTTGGCCCTTTTGCTTGACATGTTGACGTCTGGTAGGTTCCCCCCTCCTACAATGCAGATGGCAAGAAGGCTGTCAGCTTGGCCTAAGCATATGATCTCCTGTAAAATCTACAACATGAATGTATTCGTCATATTTATTTTGATGGCATTTTGTTTGTTTCTTTAGATTATTACCAGTCTGTCTAATGACCTATAAATTGGACGCATCTGATGACATCTGTTTGGACGACCAAGCTCTGGCTTGTGTCCAGACAGAGCTACAACCGACACAAGATGTGTACAAATGATAACAAAAGCAATTAGATTGGCTTCATGGTTTAAATTCTGTGTGGATGCAGATGAAACTAATGAAAAATAATGTATATTCCTCAGTGTTGACCTCAAAAATTAACATTTATGTCAGTGGTAAAAGACATGGTAGACAAAGTATTAGATTCAGTCTGCTTAATAGAATTTCTGAGTGAAAATATCCTTACTTTAAATGTCTATCGTTTGAGTCCAGTTTAGTCAAGTATTGAAAGTTTAACAAAAACAAAACACTGAAACTACGTTGCCGCATATGTTAATTTTTAAGCTATATGTTTGTGGCCATCTGTACTGGATTGGAATGTGTATAAATAAAACAATGAAGTGTCATGTACCTGCAGGAAACTAGTGTCATTTCAGGATGACAACACAATATGCTGGCGTTCCCCTGCCACATATTAGCTAACAACAACGAATGAAATGAAGCCAAATTACCATCAAATTGTTATTAATGTGTGAAAATTCTTCCCAGTATGTGTGCTGTGACACAAGTCTGCTGTTCAGCAACTCCACACAGCGTGAATAAGGCATTTTGTTGATTAGCCAGCTAGCCCACATCTGACCTACATAACTGACTGACCAGGCTAGCTTCAGCGAGCGAGCCGAGATTAATTTACGCTGAAAACGTGAACCTTTCGTTTCCTTAAATCATGTGGCCTAAATACGCGCTGGACAGATTAAATATATGTCACCCACCTTGGAAATGAAGCAGCAGTTAGAGCCTAAACGCTGTGCACAAGGCTACCAGAGCATCCACAGACCGATCAACAGGGACCATCAACGTTTTAGCTCCTCGTTCCCTAACTGACCAATCAGAGCGCAGCCGGAAGAAACCAACAGTCTGGAATGTACCATGTTGTCAACTCTACTTCCAATTGGTGTTTTGCATTTCGTTAGGTAAATCAATTAATATGTGAGGGAACTGACAACCGACAACCGATCGTGAGAGATTTTACAACCTGCATCACCTGAATTTAATTTCAGTTGAACTTATTTTGACCTGAAAACCTGAAAAGACATGAACTCTTCAAAGATTGAACATCATCTACACATGCAGAAATATACATATA